TCTGAGCTTTCCAGAATGTCATATAAGTATGATTCATAGAATATGTCGCTTTTTTGATTGGCTACTTTTTCATCAAAATAAAACTCAAACTAATTGCCACTGAGTCAAAACTAACTAACAGCTGATTTTACACTGTTTTTCCATGCCTAGAAATTGCATGGAGGAGACTGTCCATCCTTCTCCCTCAGAGCTGCTGGTGGATTCAAACTGCTAAGAGGTACAGCCTTTGGGTTAGCAGCACAGCTACAGACTACATCACTAGAATAGTATGTATTTAAGATTTAAGTTTTTTCATCATTTGGTAGTTCTTTTTTATAAAGCTAAGTAATATTCCATAGTATGGTACCATTTCATCCATTCTGCTACTGAAAATAATCTGCTTGTTTCCAATTTTAAGCAATTATAAATAAAAGTTGCTAAAAACAGTGATATGTAAGTTTTTATATGGGTATTCACTTTCACCTTGTCTAGGTAAATAATGAAGAGAATAACTACTGGACTAAATAGTAAGCATAATGTTCAGCTTTCTAAAAACTTTCATTCAATTTTCCAAAGTGACTGTTACCACTTTGCATTCTAAACAGCAATAACAATTCCTGTTGCTCCATATACTCATGAATATTTGATATCAGCATTTTACATGTTAGGACATTCTAATAAGTATGTTATTTCTTGCTGCTTTATTTTCCAATTTTCTAATGCTTCATGGGATGGCCATCAGTTACAATAAATTTTCAGTCAGGTTTGCTTTTAGTGACTTATAATTTGAACATATTTTTTCACATTCTTAATTTCCATCAATGCATCTTACTTGGTGAAGTTTCTGCTCAGTTCTGTATCTATTTTGTAACTGGTTTGTTTTGGCTACATTTATATATATATATATTTATATATATATATATATATATATATATATATATATATATATATATATATTTGCTGACTTGTATATTTTTATTACTTCTTTGTATATTGTTGGTACAAATTCTTCAGAGGGGTTTTGCTTCTCCCTCTGTAGTTTTTTCCCCATTCTCTGAACCGTGTCTTCTGCACAATGTTTTAATTCTGGTGAATTGCAACATTTTCCCCCCCTCTTTTGAACTATGCTTTTCATGCTATGTAAAAGAAATCATCATCAAGAATTTGTCCTCTATAGCCTGGTGGTAAAAAGCTCCACTGCAATCTCAAAGCCCACAATTCAAACCCACCAGCTGCTCCATGAGAGAAACATGGGCAATCTCCTCCTGTGTTACTGAACGCCTCTGAAAACATTCTACCCTGTAGAGGGTCAGGTATACTAGATTCTGACTTGAGGGTCCACAACAATAACATATTCTAAACATCTTACAGTTAGATTTATTTAGAACTATTTTGAGTCAATTTTGGAGGTCTGTTAGCATAATGGTTAAGTGTTCAGTTGCTAGTCAAAATGTTAGAGTTCTGAATCTATCAGCAGGTAACTCGGGAGAAAAGAGCAGGTAATCTATACTTCACTTTAGAAAATTCTATGGGGAAGTTTAATAAAATCCTACAGGGTCAGTACAAGTCAGAATCACAGAAACATGTCGAGATTAAGGGTTTTTTTGCATGTGGATCTTCAAGCACCATGTGTTGAAGAGACTAGTTTTTTCTTCATTGTATAGCCATCGTTCACTTGTCAAAATCAGCTGATCAAGTTTGTGTCGGTCTATTCCTAGGCTCTCTATTCTGGAGTGTGGCATCAAGACTGGAGGAAGACTCACCAACAACCAGCATAATGTAGATGACATAACATTCGTGCTGTGAGTGAAGACTTCAAGCATTTGTTGCAGAACATCAATGAATGCAGCCTCCAGTAAGCATGACTGCATCTCAATGTCAGGAAAACAAAGATTCTTACCATTGGATCGATAGGCAGCATCATGATGGATGGAGAGGTAATTGAAACTGTCAAAATCTTCACCTTGTTTGGATCCACAATTAACATCCTTGGTACTAACAGTTAGAAAATAAGGAGACACATTGCAGTAGGAAAATTTACAGTCAAGGACCCTTCCAAATTAATGAGGAGTAATGATGTCAGTTTGAGGATTAATGTGCGTTTGATTCAGGCCATAGTCCTACCAATTACTTGCTATGCATTTGAGAGCTGGACAACGACAAAGGATGACAGAAAAAGAATTGATGCCTTTGAGCTGTGGTGTTGGAGAAAAGCAATGAACATCCAAGACAACAAATAGATACCCCTTGGAGAAGGTGCGGCCAGAGTGCTCTTTGGAGGCAAGAATGATGAGGCTTTCCATCACATAGTTTGAGCATGCTGCTAGAAGGTGCTATTCCTTGGAGAAGGATATGATGTTGGGAAGGGTGGAGGGTCAGAAAAGGAGAGGAAGATCCTGAACCAGGTGGATTAACATGGTGACTGCTGCAATAGGCTGTTGTGTGTCGGGAAGTGTGAGGATGGCACAGGACAGAACAGGGTTCAGATCTTTTGTTCATAGGGTCACTATGAGTCATACTCTACTTAACTTGATGGCACCTAATAACAACTATTCTGTTAAAATGATCTGTTTGCTTCTTCACTGACATCACACTGTGTGTGGTTTTGTTACTTTCTTTTGAATAAATTTTTATTTTATACTGATTTGCTTACAAAATTCATATACATTGTTTTTCACACTGATTCTTTCCCATTTCTTTTACCCACCCCTCCCTCTACCCATAAAATTGTGCAAATCTATGATTACCCTGCTAACCATCCTTACCCCTCTACTCCTATCCTTCGACACTTGAATCCTCCTACTCGTTTTACCAGTTATCTATTTCTACAATAATGGTATTCCACAGTATTTATCCTTATGGGACTGAGTTAATTCTCTCAGCGTAATGCACTCCAGTTCTTCCCAAGTAATGTAGTGATTTTCAAAATCATTGCTACTGAATGCTGCATAGTATTCCATCATGTGAATATACCAGAATTTCTCAATCCACTCAATTGTAGTTGGACATTTGGGCTGCTTCCATGATCTTGCAATGGTGAATAACCCTGCTATGAACATTGGTGTCTCTCATTTCTAATTTTCTTGGAGTATATTCTAAGCAGTGGAATAGCTGGGTTACATGGAATTTCTAGATTTAGCTTTGTGAGGAAATGCCAAACTGCCTTCCAGAGTGGTTATACCATTTTACATTCCCACCAACATTTATTACTTATTGTCCTGTTAAACTGTGCCACTGATACTGGGATGAGATGGTATCTTACTGTGGTTTTGATTTGCATCTCTCTTACTGTCAATGATTTGGAGCACTTCTTCATGTGTCTGTTGGCCATCCGAATATCTTCCTTTGTGAAAGGTCTTTCCATGTCTTTTGCCCATTTTGTGACTGTGTTATCAGTCTTTCTCTTGTGGATGTCCTGTAGTATCCTGTAAACTTTTCTTATGAGACTCTTGTCTGAGATGGTATTTCCAAATGTTTTTCCCAGTCAGTAAGTTTTCTTTTCACTCTGTTGGAAAATGTTTTTGATGTACAACAGGGATTTAATCTTTAGAAGGGCCCATTCATCAATTTAATCCTCTTCTGGTTGTGTATCTCTGGCTGTATTTGTCAGTCTTTTAATACCATGAGGTAGGCCTTCTAAAGTTGGTTCTACTTTGTCTCTTATGATCTTTATGATTTGGGCTTTACTTCTAAGTCTCTGATCCCCCTTGAGCTGATTTTTTTATATAGTAAGAGGTGTGTACCATGCTTTGGCTTTCTGCAGACAGAAGTATAGTAGTGCCAGCACCATTTACTGGAAGAGGTTGTCATTTTCTCATTTGATAGTTTTTCTTTCTTTGTCAAATTATGAGCTGACCATAGATAGATGGATTAATTTTTGAGGAGTTCTTGATTCCATTCTGTGTCTATGTGTTTGCCATTGCTGTTTTGATTACAGCTGCATTACATTGCTTTGATTACTGTACCTTTATATTAAGTTTCAAAATAGAATAGTTTCAGTTGTCCAACTGTTCTTCATTACTGTATACTAGGCTAGGTCTTTCGCCTTTTAATATAACTTTAGAATCAGCTTAAGGAACGTGAAATAACTTCAGAGATTTTGGCTGACGTTGGGTTCAGTCTATAAATTGAATTATTAAAGTTGGCACCTTAATAAAATTAAGTCTATCTATTAATATCATAAACATGAGACTTCTTCATTAATTACATCTTTGATTTCTTTTATCAAAGTTTTGAAGTTTTTCATCAAATGGTCTTGGCACATATTTTATTAGGTGTTTCAGTATTTTTGGTGGAATGTATATAAGCACTGGAGCACTTTGGAGCTCTGGTGACCTAGTGGTAAGAAGCTGCACTGCAATCCCAAAGGCACACAGTTCAAATCATCCAGATGCTCCATGGAAGAAGCAATGGATAATCACCTACAATGCAATTTATTGTCTCTCAAAACCTGCTCGAGGGTCAGCTACAGGTTGGTTCTTACTCAATGGCAAAAAACAACAATTTGCATCAAGTTTTTAAATTTTAAATCTCAGCTGTTCATTGCTAGCATACTGGTAAATAACTGTGTGAAATAAGAAATTAAAAAAACTGATTTGTCTTCTTTCCACCTTTCTGCCTATCTATATTGAGCAAGCAAAAACAATATGGAGTATCTTTACACAGAAAGGATACACTAATAGCAAAACCTTTTAAGTGAAATGGTAAGCAAGATTTTTAAGTTATAGGTAAGATTATACACGTAATATAAATTTAATAAGAAGCCTGAAGAATGGCATGATCTGGTAAATATTCTGATTAATACATTCTTTTCCTTTAAATAAAAATCTGGTAATTAAAAAGGAATTGTAAAATCTTGAATGAAGATAATCATTATAGATGCTTTCTTTAACCTGTTACATAAAAACATTAATGAGACCATTTTTATTAACATTTGGACAAATCAGCATTTATGTAAAAAAATAAAATTTCTATTTTTAGAGATTTGCAAAATTTTTAATTACATTTTGAAAATGTATTACCTTCATATGATTTTTCAAAGGGTCCAGAAGATTGAAATGAATATTGCACTTCGGACATGCTCTTGGAAAAGGTGTTCCATTTTTAGATTGATTTGATGAGGTATTTGTACCTAAAATAAATTCAGGACATTAAGAAACCAAAATGGTTTTTTATTTTAATTTACCACTAATAATATTTTAAAAATTTATCACAATTTGTGAACTTTCTGTAGTAACAGTATGAATTTTTCTTATGTCAGATTTCACATTTACCTTTTGATTGCATAACCTGAGGAGATGGCAATGAAGGAGATGCTGCCGAGGAGAATGTGGCTGAGGAATTTGCTCCAGAGACACTTTCACTGGGTTTAGGCTTTTTTGGATTAACACTGTTAATTTCAGAAGTAGAAGGGCGCTTTGAAATAAATGAGCTTTCATTCATACCTGCAGTGATTTAACATAAGGAAAGATATTTTAAAATATTTTAGTGTAAAGTACAGCATTCAAGTAAAGTTACACTACATGAAAATTTAAGTAAAAATACATTATAAAGGGATGACGCTTGGGTGTTAGTACCAGAAAGCATTAATGGTTAACACCCTTGTCAGTTCATTAAACGACTTTAAGCTCAAGTCCTTCTATTTCTAGAGGTATCTCAGAAGACATCCAAAAACACAACTACTAAAAACACTCTATGGAACCCAGTTCTACTCTGACACACACTTTGTCACCATGACTCTGAGTCACCTCAAGAACAAATGTTTGTTTTACTCTCAAGGAATACAGAGAACCTGCAGAACATTTCTTACATTATTTTAAAATAATTCATGACATAATCATTTTATACATGAGAAATTCTAAATATGGCATCAAAATACAGAAATGAATATAAACAGCCATCACAAAAGAAGCTGGGTGAAAAAAATAACAAGAAAGCAAACTCTGAAACAAATTCCTATAAATAAACTTTATATGCTTAAATGCATCTGAGCTGGTTAAAATGTATTTTAATTTTTTCCAAGATCCTTATGATATTATTTAACAACAACTTAAAATATACAGTCTTATAGAAATAATTCTTTCACCTAACAAAGTTGAAAGGGAGTTTATTCAAAGCTTTCATTTCTTTATTTCCTTTAGGCTAAATTTTATCTATGCAATCCGATAAACCATTGGAAACAGATTAATTTCTCTGAAACGGTTTCTTTTTTATAAAATAAGAACTATAATACATTCTTTTGCAGATCTGTATTAAAGATCAAGTAAAAGAATTTAAAGCACAAAATGTATCATTTGCTAAAGTAGAAAAGGTTTTGTGTAATCACAATAACATTCTTCTGAGATGGCTTAAAATGTAAAATGCTGTAATTTGAGATTAAGCAAATGATTATAAAATAACTATACAAACTCTTAACAGAAATTTTTAATATGAGAAAATATTAAATAAAAACACTGTATTTAACAGTTTCCCATGTTTCTCTATACTATCTTTGGCTTGTACAGTTTCTTACCCTCAACAGTTCTACGTGTGTAAGTAAAAACTGTATTCTTATTCACTGTCAAGCTTAAATTCAACTTGCTCCAAATATCTCCCAATATCAGCATACACAGAAGTCAATCAGGCTTCTGAACTTATGTCACATATTATCATTCACAGAAAGTATCTTTGTCAAATCCTGTAAAGCTTTTGATGCATTTTCACATTTCATTGTATCATACAGATATCAAAAAAGGTCTTAAGTTGACAACAATCTGGAGTATCGCAAAGTAGACTGGGGGAGGGAGAAGAGATAGAAAGTGCACAACAATGAATGAGTGAAAACTTAATCTTTCTGGGCTTAAACCTTTGTTTAAATCACAATTAAAATATAATTTACCAAAACCAAAAGAAGGTGTACTATAGACAGCCTCTATTTCTCTTTTCTAAAAATATTTATTATTATTATTATTATTAATTTTAATGAAAATTTACGGAGACTTTGGATTTCCATTCATTCTTTGTTGTACTTTTCTCCCTGCCAAACCCTCCCTCCCAGTTCGCTCTTCCCTTTGAAAAGCAAAAGAAAAATTCTTTAATTGTTATACAATCCCTCCCTCCAGCCTCTATTTTCTAATGAAGATTTGTTCTGAAAGACTGGTTTTAAGTTAATTCTGACTTCAGGTGAATTATCTACATAAATCCAACTTTTGTCTTCAGAGTTTGGAAACACTGCATAGGAATTTACAGATATATGTTAAAACAAACATAGAGGAAAAAAATAGACAGTCAAAGTATGGTTTGTTAGAAACCAAACACAGTCAATGTTAAGGACTATCTGTAGAACAAGAATTAAAATTGCTATTGTCAAATGACCAGTTTATATTTAGAGAACAAATACATTATGTAAGAAAAATAGAAATCTGCATTTTAATAACACAACAAAATTAAAGTGTACAGGTTAGGTGATTTTATTAAGGTTATAAAATTCTTAATAAAGGGCTCAAATCTATATCGTTCAAATAGGTCGGGCTAATTCCATTCTGTAGTACAAAATTTAGAAATAGATAGGAGGCACGGCTTATACTAAATAGGTTTCAAAAATTTCTACTTTCTCTATAAAGTTCATGTGTTTTCTCAAACTAGATTTTAAAAAGTTCTCGTTCCCATATTTCTTTAGTTCTTCTTGTCTTTAATTATGTAAGTTACAACCTATGTAGTTCTTCTCTTTATGTACATGGCAACAAGATAACCAAAGTCAAAAGAACTCACAGAAAAATTACACAAAAATGTATGTGTTAATATCACAGTCATAAATATTACTAATAAATAATTTGGAGAAGAGTTAGTAATGATACCATATTTATTACCAAACAATATAATTTTTTTCAAATCTATATTTTTATTTAAAATCTTTTAACTTTATCAAATACATAAATTCCTTGATTATAAGCAATTTTCAACTAGACAAAATTCTTTCACAGCATACCAATTTACTTTAGGCTAATGAAAAACTTTGTTAAGTTTGTGTTTTCTAAACTTGTTTTTTTTTCTTAAAAATTTTGTTAAATCTTAATTCTTTTTCTACATGGAAAACTAATTATTCTTTCAATTGGTATTTAGTAAAAGTTTATTATGCTAAAATCATTACTGCCTTTTATTGTCTTTTTAAAACATGCCTCTATTAGTGTTATTCACCAACATATCTAAATAATTTATTAGCATAGAAACTAGCCTAATTAACAACCAATTATAACCATATACTTGTGTCATTATAACTACAAAAATTCATCTTTAAAAGCAACAAAGAATTTAGGAAGTCAGATTAACATCTTATACTCATAGAAGTAGTAAATTTTTCAGTCAATGGATTCAGTACAATGTGAGGAAAAAAACTCAGCCTGTTAGCCTAGTCAAGCGAAAGAAATAAGCAATTATTAAATATTTTTGTTGAGTACAACCGAGTTGGAACTGACAGGTAAGGCTCCAGTGGATTTTTCAGAGGCAGTAAAACACGTAGAAGACTATCTTTCCCCATGGAGTAGATATTGTTGTTATATGCTGTTGAGTTGATGACCACGACTCACAGCAACCCTATGTACAATAGCCCTAACCCTACTCTATCCTGTGCCAATCTTATTGTCTC